GGAATGCGGGAGGGGGGAGGAGGACGCGCGGGGTGGGGAGGGAAGCCACCAGCACCAAGCATGGCCGGGATTGCTGCAGAACCACGTGGGTCTGTTTGCAATTACAAACGTCGCGACTCGCCCGCCTGCAGCGGACAAAAGTGACCGGGACCGCTCAGGGCCCCCACGTTCCGAGGGAGGAGGGTTCCCGGACGGCGCGAGATCGGCGTACGGGGCTGCAATCCCGGGGCTGCAATTGTAGGAAGGGGATAGGGGGTAGGGGGAGGAGTACACACCTACAGAGCCCTCCTATCACTTCTTTCTCTGTTTTCCTGAAATGTTGCAAAGAGGGCACCTTCTGAGTGGGCACCATGAAATACTCCATAGCGATCGGCCCCCCTCCTCTGCACGAGCCGGGTCCCGCGGTCCGCCGGAGAATGCAAGATGGAAATCCGAATCAAAGGGCAGCGCCGGACGGTGGTGCAGAATCGGCCGGTCCCAGATGCTGGCGGCGGCGGCGGCAAGGGGAGGGAGGCGGGCGGGAGGGGCGAGAGGGAGGTCTCTCCGGCCTGCCTCCCCGGGCGCGTGTATGTGTGTGTGTGTTTGCAGCTGATCAGATGTCTGTTTCAAGGCGGGAAACAGCTGGTGAAAACTCAGCACTCCCCCGGCCTCCTTCCGCGGAGTAAGGAATTGCATGTAAACAAAGGACTATTTGCAGCGTCCCCCCGGGCGGCGCAGAGCCGTGATGAGAAGGGCTAGGGCCCCAGTGGGCAAGGGGCCGCCGGGGTCTGCGGGCCTCCCCCCTGCGCGAGAAGCGGGGGGCTGCGGGTTGACTGGGAAGGCACGGCGTGAATGGAGCGAGTTGCGGCTGAGCTACATGCGCCACTATGGGTGATGAGGTCCATCAGCTGACAGGTTGGCAAGCGTAAGGGAGAAAAAAAAACGCCAGCCACCGCGGGGGAGCCCAGCCAGTGCGGCCGGGGTCCGGCGGGGACTGCCCAGTGCAGGGTCTTCGCGCTCTGCGGCCCTCGAGGGCGGGGGACGCGCAGCTGGGCCCGGGGAAGGCGGCCTGGGGTGCTGCTAGGGGCTTTTCCCTGTTAACGATTGTAACTGCACAGAGTGGAGCCGCTCTGGCGCGCTCCCTCCGAGCTCAGGGCCCCCTGGAAACTTGCGTCACAGCCACTGCTTCCCACATGCAACTTGGGGCCGACTTCGGAGGCCAGCCAGCCTACTGCCTCCCACCCTCCCTCCCTGCCCAGCTGCCCGGCACTGGCCGCCTAGCCCAGCTCCATAGCCTGGGAATCCCGGAGCTGGAGAGAGGAATGCAAAGGGGGCGCGCCGGGCGCCTCGGATCCTGGGGCTGCCCTAGGAAGCGGGGGCCCCGGCAGGGAGGGAAACGTGGAGGGAGGCCAAGACGGCAGCGGCCTGGGGGCAGGCTGCCAGCGCGGCTGGGAGGTCTGGTGGCTGCTGCCGGGTCCCGTCCTAACCTTCGACATACACACTTTCCTCCTCTGCGAGGAGGCAGGACGGCGGGAATCTTGGCCCGGGCGGAGGGAAGGCTGCAGCTTCTCATTCAAGGCGAAACAAATGCGAGACTTGCTCCTCCACCAGGGTGCGCTTTCTACGAGGGCTGATGGCCTGGGGCGGAGGCGGGAGCGGCACTAGCTAACGAACTTCTGTCTCCACCTTCCTTCCCCAGGCCCTCCCCTGGCTCCTGGAGGGTGGGCCCCAGGCTCCAGAAGACCAGCCTGCCTTGGAATGTCCTGCCTCCTGCCCACCACCTTTCTCAGTCCCATTCACCTTCAAGGTTCCGCCCACATTGCACCTCCTAATTGAAATACTCCTACCAATAACAAGGATTACTGCTATTATCCTATCCTATATCAATTATCTATACTAATAAAAGGGTAATATGCTAATTAGACCGGGAGACCAGCCGTCCTTCCGGACAAAGCCATGGTGGCGGGGCCAAGGCAGAGGAGGTTAGGGGTGAGCAGGCTGGCAGGGTGGGGGGGGGGGGGAATTGGGGGGGGGCAGACG